GGACTGGGAGGGAACTGGGAGGGACTGGGAGGGACTGGGAGGGAACTGGGATGGACTGGGAGGGAACTGGGATGAACTGGGATGGACTGGGAGGAACTGGGATGGACTGGGGGGGAACTGGGATGAAATGGAGGGGAACTGGGAGGGACTGGGACGGACTGGAATGGAACTGGTTTTTACTGGGAGGGACTGGGATGAACTGGGATTGAACTGGGATGGAGTGGGATGGACTGGGATGGAACTGGGAGGGAACTGGGAGGGACTGGCACAAACTGGGAGGAAACTGGTTTATACTGGTTTATACTGGGATGGAATTGGTTTATACTGGGATGGAATTGGTTTATACTGGGATGGAATTGGTTTATACTGGGAGGGAACTGGGGGTGTGAAAATCCAGGGGGAGTTTTGGGGTGAAAAACAGGGATTTTAGGGGTGAAAATGGGAGTGGGAGGGAACTGGTTTATACTGGTCTGTACTGGTCCATACTGGTCTCTAACCAGTCCATACTGATCCATACTGGTCTCTAACTGGTCCATACCGGTTCTAACTGGTCCATACTGGTCCATTCTGGTCTCTATCCGGTCCATACTGGTTCTAACTGGTCTCTAACCGGTCTATACTGGAGTCTAACCGGTCCATACTGGTCTATACTGGTTCTAACCGGTCCATACTGGTGTCTAACTGATCCATACTGGTTCTAACCAGTCCATACTGGTCTCTAACCGGTCCATACTGGTTCATACTGGTCTCTAACCGGTCCATACTGATCCATACTGGTTCTAACCAGTCCATACTGGTCCATACCGGTCTCTAACCGGTCCATACTGGTCCATACCGGTCTCTAACCAGTCCATACCGGTCTCTAACTGGTCCATACTGGTCTCTAACCGGTCCATACCGGTCTATTCAGGTCCATACCGGTCTCTAACCGGTACATACTGGTCTCTAACGGGTCCATACTGGTCCATACCGGTCTCTAACCGGTCCATACTGGTCCATACCGGTCTCTAACTGGTCCATACTGGTCTGTAACCGGTCCGTACTGGTCTGTAACCGGTCCGTACCGGTTCTAACCGGTCGGTCCCGGTGCCGCAGGTGGCGGGAGGCGGCGCAGCGGCAGCAGCAGCGCTACGGGCCCAGCCTGCGCCTGCTGCGCCTCATCTACGAGCGGCAGTGAGGCCACGCCCACCCGGGACACGCCCACCCGGGACACGCCCACCCGGGACACGCCCACCCGGGACACGCCCACCGAGGACACGCCCACCCGGGGCAAGCCCAGCCCCACTCAGGCCACGCCCACCCAGACCATGGCCACGCCCACCGTGGCCACGCCCACATTGGACCCACCCAGACCACGCCCACATTACCCACCCCTACATCCACCCTGACCACGCCCACACCCAACCAGACCACGCCCACATTGGCCACACCCACCTCCACATGATCACACCCACCCAGACCACGCCCACAGCCAACCAGACCACGCCCACATTGACCACACCCACCTGACCACGCCCACACCTCAAGCCACTCCCACAATGACCACACCCACCCAGGCCACGCCCACATTGACCACACTGACAATGGCCACGCCCACATTGACCACACCCATTGGCCACCCATGTTGCCCACACCCATCCAGACCACGCCCACATTGACCACACCCACCCATAGTGGCCACACCCATCATGGCCACGCCCACACTGACCACGCCCATTGGCCACACCCACTTTATTCCCAGACCACTCCCACATTGACCACGCCCATATTGACCACACCCACAATGACCACTCCCACACCCCCAAGCCACGCCCACAATGACCACACCCACCAAGACCATGCCCAGTGGCCACACCCATCATGGCCACGCCCACACCCACCCAGACCATGCCCACAATGACCACACCCACCCAGGCCACGCCCATTGGCCACGACCACACTGACAATGGCCACTCCCACCTTGGCCACACCCACCACAATGACCACACCCATTGACCACCCATGTTGCCCACACCCAACCAGACCACGCCCACATTGACCACACCCACACTGACCACTCCCACACCCCAAGCCACGCCCACAATGACCACACCCATAGTGGCCACACCCATCATGGCCACGCCCACATTGACCACACCCACCCAGGCCACACCCATCATGGCCACGCCCACAATTAGTACACACAGACTGACCACACCCATAGTGGCCACACCCATCATGGCCACGCCCACAGCCACCCTGACCACGCCCACAATGACCACACCATCCAGACCACGCCCATTGGCCACGCCCACCCGGCCACGCCCCTCCCCAATAAAAGCTCCGTCATTTCCATATTCAGGAGTGCGACCAATCAATGCCTTTATTTGGGAAAGGGGGCGGGGCTCCCGTGGGGCGGGGATGACGTCATCGCTCCTGGGGGAAAGGGGAGGGGCTAACAATGAGGCCACGCCCACTTTTGGGCTGGCCCCGCCCACTTTGGGGGATTTGCCCCACCCACTCCGAAGGCCACGCCCCTTCCTGCTCCGCCATTGGCTGGGTTTGGCCACGCCCCAATTTTCCCATTGGTGGCCGTAAAGCCACGCCCACAACCTATCCCATTGGCTGCTGCAGGCCACGCCCCCGTCTCGGGGCTTTCTCATTGGCTGATCCACGCCCCACCCCCTCCTGGCTCTCTGACATTGGTTGGGTGAAGCTCCGCCCCCTCCCCACTCCCATTGGCTCCTTCCGACCCCGCCAAGCTTCTCCCATTGGTCGCTTTAAGCCCCTCCCCAACATTTCCCCCTTGCCATTGGCTGCTTCCAGCCACGCCCCCAATCTCAGGCTTTCCCATTGGCTGCTTTAAGCCCCACCTCCTCCCGCTGCTTTCCTATTGGTTCTTTCAAGCCCCGCCCCCAAACCCCCTCATGGCCCCACCCTCACTTCCCCATTGGCCACTCCAAGCCCCGCCCCTGCCTCCAGGCTCTCCCATTGGCTGCTCAGAGCCCCACCCTCCATTCGGCCTCTCCCATTGGTCACTCAAAGCCCCGCCCCCAATTTCCCCCACTTCCATTGGCTGAGCAAAGCCCCGCCCCCTCCCTCTCTGATTGGCCCGTCCCGGCCCCGCCCTCACCTCTCTGCGCCGCCATTGGCTGCCGCGGTGGGCGGGGCGGGCTCAGGGCTCTCCCATTGGCTGGGTGAAGCTGAGGGCGTCGCCCAAGGCTCCCCATTGGCCGCGGCGGCTCTGGAACAGCCCCACCCACACGCCCAGGCCCAGCCCCCAGAGCGCCGCGCCCAGCGCCGAGCGCAGCACGTCTGGAAACGACCCAAAAACGGGCAAAATCACCCCAAAATCACCCAAAATCACCCAAAATCACCCAAAATCAGCCCCAAAACCAACTCAAAATCACCCCAAAATCACCCCAAAATCACCCAAAATCACCCAAAATCAGCCCAAAATCACCCCAAAATCAGCCCCAAAACCATCCCAAAATCAGCCCCAAAACCAACCCAAAATCACCCAAAATCAGCCCCAAATCAGCCCAAAATCACCCCAAAAAACAGCCCCAAAATCAGCCCAAAATCAAACCCAAAAATCACCCCAAATCCAGCCCAAAATCAAACCCAAAATCAGCCCCAAATCACCCCAAAATCAGCCGAAATCACCCCAAAATCAAACCCAAAATCAGACCCAAAAACCATCCCAAAATCCAGCCCAAAATCAGCCCAAAAATCAAACTCAAAATCAGCCCAAAATCAAACCCAAAATCAGCCCCAAAATCACCCCAAAATCACCCCAAAATCCAGCTCAAAACAGCCCCAAAATCACCCTGAAATCAGCCCCAAAATCACCCAAAATCGGCCAAAATCCGCCCAAAATCACCCCAAAAACCATCCTAAAAAACAACCCCAAACAGCCCCAAAATCACCCCAAAACCAACCCAAAATCAAACCAAAATCACCCCAAAAAACAGCCCCAAAATCAAACCCAAAATCAGCCCAAAGTCACCCCAAAATCACCCCAAACAGCCCCAAAATCACCCAAATCAGCCCCAAATCAGCCCCAAAACAGCCCAAAACCCAATTTTCCCGTTTTTCCCGTGTTTCCCCATTGTTTTCCCAGTTTTCCCCCCATTTTTCCCATTTTCCCGTTGTTTTCCCATTTTTCTCATTTCCCCATTTTTCCCATTTTCCCGTTGTTTCCCCATTTTTCCCATTTTCCCCATTTTTCCCGTTTTCCTGTAGTTTTCCCCCATTTTTCCCATTTCCCCCCATTTCCCCGTTATTTTTCCCCTTGTTTTCCCCGTTCTTTCCCCCATTTTTCCCGTTTCCCTGTGGTTTTTCCCCGTTTTCCCCCATTTTCCCCCCGTTTTTCCCCATTTCTCCCCCTTTTTTCCCCGTTTTTTCCCCATTTTTTCCCGTTTTTTTCCCGTTTTCCCCCCATTTTTCCAATTTCCCTATCGTTTCTCCCCATTTTTTCCCCATTTTCTGCCATTTTTCCCATTTCCCCATGGTTTTTCCCCATTTTTCCCCGTTTTTCCCCATTTTCCGCCATTTTTCCCATTTCCCCGTGGTTTCTCTCCGTTTTTCCCCATTTTTCCCCCCTTTTTCCCCATTTTTTCCCCATTTTTCCCCGTTTTTCCCATTTTCCCGCATTTTCCCTCAGTTTTTCCCCATTTCTCCCCCTTTTCTCCCCGTTTTTCCCCATTTTTCCCCATTTTTGCCCATTTTCCCCCATTTTCCCCGTTTTTCCCGTTTTCCCCCGTTTTCGCCCCGTTCCCGTCTCACAGCTCTTGATCTGGGGCTGTTCTCCGAAGGGCGGCGCCAGGAACGCCGCCCGGAAAAACCAAACGACGTTAACAAGCCACAGGAACGGCAGCGCCACGAACCCGCCTGGTTAATGATGGGTTAACCCGGGTTAACCAGGTTAACCAGCCACAGGAACGGCAGCACCAGGAACCCGCCTGGTTAATGATGGGTTAACCACTTTAACCATGGGTTAACCAGCCACAGGAACGGCAGCGCCACGAACCCGCCTGGTTAACCACAGGTTAACCCGGGTTGGTGACTGGTTAACAGCAGGTTAGTCACCGGTTAACCGCCGGTTAACCACGGGCTAGTCACTGGTTAACTGCGGGTAACTGACCGGTTAGCCGTGCGTTATTCACCCGTTACCGACAGGTTAACTGCAGATTAGTCACTGATTAACAGTGGGTTAACAGCGGGTTAGTCACCAGTTAACCACAGGTTAGCGGCGGTTTAGCGACTGGTTAACAGCAGGTTAACTGCAGGTTAGGCACCGGTTAACCGTGGGTTAACCACAGGTTAGTCACCAGTTACCAGCGGGTTAACTGCAGGTTAGTGACCAGTTAACAGCAGGTTAGTCACTGGTTAACAGCGGGTTAGTCACTGGTTAACAGCGGGTTACTGACGGGTTAACTGTGGGTTAGTCACCGGTTAGCAATGGGTTAGTCACCGGTTAACAGCGGGTTACCCACTGGTCACCAATGGGGTACAAATGGGTTAGTAATGGGTTAGTACTGGTCACTCATTGGTCACTCATTGGTCACTCTGGTCACTCATTGGTCACTCATTGGTCACTCATTGGTCACTCATTGGTCACTCATTGGTCACTCAGGGTCACTCATTGGTCACTCATTGGTCACTCAGTGGTCACTCATTGGTCACTCAGGGGTCACTCAGTGGTCACTCATTGGTCACTCAGGGGTCACTCATTGGTCACTCATTGGTCACTCAGTGGTCACTCATTGGTCACTCAGGGGTCACTCAGTGGTCACTCAGGGGTCACTCAGGGGTCACTCAGGGGTCACTCAGTGGTCACTCAGGGGTCACTCAGTGGTCACTCATTGGTCACTCATTGGTCACTCATTGGTCACTCATTGGTCAGTTGGTCACTCATTGGTCACTCATTGGTCACTCATTGGTCANTCATTGGTCACTCATTGGTCACTCATTGGTCAGTTGGTCACTCATTGGTCACTCATTGGTCACTCATTGGTCACTCATTGGTCACTCATTGGTCACTTGGTCACTCATTGGTCACTCATTGGTCACTCAGGGTCACTCATTGGTCACTCATTGGTCACTCATTGGTCACTCAGGGTCACTCATTGGTCACTCTGGTCACTCATTGGTCACTCATTGGTCACTCATTGGTCACTCATTGGTCACTCATTG